ATTGGTTTGGGAAGATTGCACCATTTCCTTACACTACTGACTTCTGTTTTCTAAGTTATGACTTTAGGTAGTTTAAAGGGAAAGGGGCCTTATACCATAGTGTGTTAATTTCTGTACGCAATTCATGGTAAAAATGCATCAAAAGCTTTACATAAGTCAATGAAAATTCCCCTGGGACTTCTTTCTTCTTTAGGTATAATTTGCTCCACTATGTATAAATTTCATTGTTTGTGCTTTTATTATTCCGAATCCAAACTGACAGGGATTTAGTAGGTGTAGAATGAGGTAGGAATAACCATCTTGAATTCATTTTAAAAAGATTTTAGAGAGTAGTGGTAAGTTAGAAATTGGTCTTAGTTATTCAAGTCGGCTTGATCCCCTCCTTTTTTGGGGGGGGTAACCCCACTATTTTTAGAACTGCTTGGAAAGGGAGGGTTCAATGGTTTTTGTTAGTGTTGCAAAAATTTGGTACAGTACTTTAAACTTTTCTTGTACATAAAAGCGGGCAAGTTGTTTATGTTCCTCCCTTTGTTCCAAACCCCTTTAGGGTTCAAGACCAAAATTGAAGGGGTCCCCCAGTGTCAAAGAAATTTTGAAAAAAAAAAAATTTTTTTTAAAAAATTAAGAAAAACAAAAAAACAAAAAAAGGAGGAACACGCGGGAGGCCTGTTGGCCCATATAGGCAGGTCCTTTACAATTCATCCCCTAACAAAACATTTCCCCCCCCCCAATTTCAATGCCACCCAAAAAATAAGCTCTGATGTAAAAGTCCCCTCAAACCCAAACCCCCTCCCATTGTATTACCAAAACCAAAATTTGAAACTACCCAAAAGTCCACCTAAATAACCCAATAGGTGACTTTTCCAAATCTCAACTACCCTTTTTCCAAACCAATACTTTCCTTGTCCTTTCTAAATCAAAACTATCTAAATTTAAAACTTTACTGCGGGTTCTCTCTTGGAGAGACATCCCCAAGACCCTATTAAAAATCCCTTTATTAATACTATAATATTTTTGTGAAAGGTTAATAAACAGAAAAACAAAAATTTTCTGTTCTGTACTTACGAGAAACAGCAGCGGGAAGTTTGACCAAAATGACCGGGTGGGCGGAACATCAGGACTTCCACAAAAATTGCATTTTTTGTTTTACGTTTTCTATACTCTTCTTTTCTAATTTTTTTTTTTTTCTAGTAACATTTGTGGCCTGTGACGCCCAATTTAATGTATATTGTATAAGTGTTAAACTCATTGTAACTTCAAACACAATAACTGCACTAATTTATCATTATATTGCTGACAAAAACTTGTTTACAAGTTTATTGTAAAACTATAATGATGAAATTATTAGTGCGTTAGTGAGTTGAATACAATGGTACATTTAGTACCATATGGTATAATGGTGCCTAGGTTGCAATGGTACCATATAGTACAATTGTACCATATGTGCAACGGGTACCTATGGTACAATGGCACATGATACAATGATACCATATGTACAATGATCACCCATATGTGTAGATTATTGGTACAATGCTCAATTTGGTACAATGTAACAATATGATACAATGGTACCATATGGTACATTGGTACCTTATGGTACCCTTATGGTGCAATGGTACCCTATGGTTACATTGTACTATCAGTACAATGATACCATATGGTTCATTTGTACCCATATGGTACTACATGGTACGTTGTTATTTGAGACAAATTGAAAAAAAAAAACAACATATTTTCATCATTATGTTTACAATAATTGTTTACAACAAAAAATATCCAAAAATACTAGTAATGTTCTGTTATATATTTACAACTGTAAAGGAGTCGACATGTTTTCTTGAGGTGGATGACAAAGCTTTGTCTCGGGGAAACTGAGTGAGTCAGTAGCTAGCTTGCTTTCGCACTCACTCAGTTTGGGCTGGTGTTTCTTGCCACCAACACCTTTTGACCATATGGTACATTGGTAGCATGTAATTGTTATTTCTGAAACCTGAATAAACTTACTCAAGCGCATGTGGCACCGTAAGTAAATTATTTTACGTATACACAAAATAAAGTTACATAGAATATCATACTTAGAAGCATATGTTTGAGAATCCTGGATAACCCAAAAAAGTCAGGATTATTTGCATTAGGGTCCATGTACCCTTATATTAGGGTACAATGTTCCATATGGTACAAATGTACATATGGTATATGTCCACATGATACAATGTAACCATATGGACACTGTACCATTTATGGCACATTTGTACCATTACCAATGTAGGCATGGCACTGATGTACCATATGTTACCATTGCACCATATGGAACAATCGGCTACCAAATGGTTCAAAACCATGTATTCTTCTTCAGCCTCCACTACCATCCGTCTCCTAGTAACTGTAAGTTGTGAGAGGAGAGGATCGTTGAGATTAGCCGGGGGAGAGTGAGTGTGGAGTGAGTGCTTCCTTGCCGCCAGGCATGATGAACAAAGATACTTTGGGCGGGGTTCCACCAAAGCCATGCAGGGCCGTTCCAAATTTTTTCTATAGTGTGACACCAAACAAACCTGGACCATACTCTCAGATGTAGGCTACCAGCCTTTCTCGCACTAAATTTGATGCCCTAGAATTTTTGGCATAGATCTAAGGTTTGGACCCTCAACGTAATGCGTAGATGTATGGCATGGACCTGAAAGGGTTAAAGGGTTGTTCGATGATGAGCGAGACCTCTGTTGGGCTGGTTGGAGTTGAGAAGCTTTAAGTGTTTCATATTTCAAAGACGGTGTATGGGAGGAAACTTTGAAAATGCAAACGAGGGGGTGAGTAAAGTTTGCGGGAGAGCGCAATGGACTGTACCAAATGTAGGGGGGGATGAAAAGGTGGAGGGAACTGAAGGAGAAGTGTGGGAGAGAACAGAAGAGGCAGAAACCTAGGAGGGGGCAGAAGAGGAAGAAACTTGGGAGGGGACAGGGGAGGAAGGCACAGTTCCTTTCATATGCATTAAATCAGTGCCATTTCTTCTAAAACTGTTGTTACATGAGAAGGGAGTGTTCTTCTTTATTTATTCTACTTTAGTATTAACATTGAGTTACGATACGTACAACATGTAACTTGTACACAAACCAGATGTGTTCACCTGGTTTGTTCATTAAACCCACATATACCTGGATTGTTCACTAAACTTGCATATACCTGGATTGCTTACATAACTCCGTGCCTGTCCTCTCTCATGAACTTATTCTCTCTCTCTCTCTCTCTCTCATTTATTTGTTGTATCTTGTTTACTCACCTCTGATTCTACATTAAGACTACAAATATTTTAAGGTAAGTAATGAGTGAACTGTATATGCATTTTATCCATCAGGGACACTTAAATGTTAAAGAACATTCGTTGTGGGCGAGGCCTGGTATGGTAGCCTGGCTGGCTACCATATGTACCACACTTCGTTTCTTACAATAAATACTACTCATCTCACCCTAGATTAAGACCACAGACTACAAATATTTCAAGGTAAGCAATGAGTGCACTATATGTGTATTTTAAGTTTTTACTGTTTTTTGATGCCTAGGTCTATTACTAACTTAATATATGTTAGTGTATACTTGTTACCTAGTATTTACATGCATTTGTAAGTGAGAAAAAAAAGAGTGTTCCACTTTATGGTGATTTCCACTTTAACCCTTTCAAGGTCGCCAGGCCCTCTCCCAGACTTGTTCTCAGGGTCGGAAAAAAAAAAAAAAAAAATCTTATGAAAAGATAGAGAATCTTTTCCCAATCACAGTGACACCAAAAGTATGAAATTTGTCGTAAAACTTATGGAATTATGCTCTCGCGAATTTAGCGGTCTCGATGATCTTTACGCATAAGCAATTTTGCCCACTTTGATTCCTATTCTCGGCCAATTCCAGTGTACTAGTCGACAAAATTCATACCTATTTTGCTAGAACTCCATTTTTTCTATCGAATGATTACAAGATACCACCCATTTACCGATTTCAACCATCTAATAAAGTGGTCGGAATTTAGCAATTTTGCCAATTTCACACAAATTTCAAAAGATGCCAATTTCCGAATAGGGTCCAGAATAAACAAGAAAGACATTCCTGTCACTAAAATAACATTTCCTCTGCTCATTATTCACGTCCCCACACCCCTCTTACATTCTTTTGCTTTCCACTTTGAATTTTTTTTCTCACAAAAAATAGATTTACTGTTATGCAGACTACTGCATTAGTGTAGAAATGGTATAAATAATATCGGTGCACTTGTGAAAGAATATTAGACTCACCAGTTGACGTGTATTGGACGCGTAGCATAATCTGTGTACTTTTGAACTTTGGTAAAAATCGAACATTTCTGCTACTTTGAGCTCAATTTCAAGGTACTTTTCATTGTAAAACCAGTCAAAAATCATCTCAATTTCTGTAATATGTCTTCCATTCTATAAAATGAGACCAGGAAAACTAGAATACAACAATAAATACCATACGAAAATACAGTGCAAAGTCGCTGTTTTAATCCAAAAACACGGTCAAAGTTCTTTTTCTCATTATGCACTGTATGCTGCAGGATATTTTTATGCTGTGCACATTGACCAAATAGACCCATTCTTCATATGAAGGCCTACCAGCTTTCTCTCACTAGATTTGAGGGCGCTAGAATTTAGCCGTACTAAAAAACCACACCCCGGCCGGGATTGAACCCGTGGTCAGAGAGTCTCAAAACTCCAGCCAGTTGCATTAGCCACTAGACCAGCTAGCAACAATAAGATTCATCCAACTATGTATATTTCTACACCATAGGAAGGTTAGCACAGGCACCACTGTGACCACAAATGTAAGTTTTTACAGACGAATCTCCAGCTAGCGTGGCCGTGATGAACTCTAGCTCAAGTCCCTTCACTGCCGTCAACATGACTCATGAAATCGTAATGACACGATTGCAAACAAACCATCCCCCGGCCGGGATTGAACCTGCGGTCAGAGAGTCTCAAAACTCCAGCCCATCGCGTTAGCCACTAGACCAGCTAGCCACAATATAATTCGTCCAACTAGGTATATTTCTACACCATAGGAAGGTTAGCACAGGCACAACTGTGACCACAAATGCAAGTTTTTACAGACGAATCTCCAGCTAGCGTGGCTAGCTTGTCTAGTAGCTAATGCGATGGGCTGGAGTTTTGAGACTCTCTGACCGCGGGTTCAATCCCGGCCGGGGTATGGTTTGTTTGCAATCGTGTCATTACGATTTCGTGAGTCATGTAGCCGTACTAGTACGTCCGAAACCCTGAAAGGGTTAAGGCAGTAGCCTGGAACCTAACCTGCCATATAAGTGGAGCCCTACTACACATCTTCCATTCTATCAAATGAGACCAAGAAAATGAGAATACAACCATCAATACCATACGAAAATACACCTTAAACTCACTGTTTTAAACCAATAAATTTAGTTTTTTACTTCTCATTATGCACTGCATTCTGTAGGATTTTGTTTATGCTGTGTACACTGACCACTCAGACCCATTCTCTCATCGGTAGATCAACCAGCTTTCCCCCACCAAATCTTAAGGTGCTAGAACTTTGGCATAGTATTACGGGACCAACACAGTTTTGCAAGTCATAATACTATGGGACCGACAGTGAAAGGATTAATATCAGTGTTGGTAGAGGAAGAAATATTAGCACATAACATACAACACCCACACTGGCAAAGCTTTCTCTTTAGAACGACTTCTAATGTGACTTTCTAAATGAAATCATTTAGAAAAAATAATTTTGAGCACTGATATGGCTTCTCTCCAGTATGAGATCTCATGTGACTTACTAAGCTTGATTTTTGAGAAAAATCTTTCAGACATTCTGAACACTGATATGGCTTCTACCCAGTATGAGTTCTCATGTGACGTACTAAGCTTGATTTATCAGAAAAGTCTTTCAGACATTCTGAACACTGATATGGCTTCTCTCCAGTATGAGTTCTCAAGTGTCTCTTTAAATTTTCTTTCCCAGGAAAGCCTTTCAGACATTCTGAACACTGATATGGCTTCTCCCAAGTATGAGTTCTCATGTGACTTACTAAGTATGATTTTTTAAAAAAGTCTTTCAGACATTCTGAACACTGATATGGCTTCTCTCCAGTATGAATTCTCATGTGACCTACTAAGCTTGATTTTTGAGAAAAATCTTTCAGACATTCTGAACACTGATATGGCTTCTCTCCAGTATGAGTTCTCATGTGACTTACTAAGACTGATTTTTGAGAAAAATCTTTCAGACATTCTGAACACTGATATGGCTTCTCTCCAGTATGTGTTCTCATGTGACGTACTAACTTCGATTTTTCAGAAAAATATTTCAGACATTCTGAACACTGATATAGCTTCTCTCCAGTATGTGTTCTCATGTGACGTACTAACTTCGATTTTTGAGAAAAATCTTTCAGGCATTCTGAACACTGATATAGCTTCTCTCCAGTATGTGTTCTCATGTGACGTACTAACTTTGATTTTTCAGAAAAATCTTTCAGACATTCTGAACACTGATATGGCTTCTCTCCAGTATGAATTCTTATGTGACCTACTAAGCTTGATTTTTGAGAAAAATCTTTCAGACATTCTGAACACTGATATGGCTTCTCTCCAGTATGTGTTCTCATGTGACGTACTAACTTTGATTTTTCAGAAAAATCTTTCAGACATTCTGAACACTGATATGGCTTCTCTCCAGTATGAGTTCTCATGTGAATTACTAAGACTGATTTTTGAGAAAAATTTTTCAGACATTCTGAACACTGATATGGCTTCTCTCCAGTATGAGTTCTCATGTGAATGGCTAAATTATATTTTTCAGAAAACTCTTTTAGACACACTGCACACTGAAGTGTTGTTCTGCCTACGATAAACTTGGTCTGATATCCACACTGAAGTTGTTGTGAAGATTGTTTTAGTGATGAGTGTGAATGTTGATATAATTGGTCTCCTACATGAACAACTGTACACTGTGTTGTCTCATCACACTGTTTTTCAGGTATTTTAGACATAGTGAACAATAAATTCTCATTTTTAAATTGTTTAACCAGGGGAAATTTGAGAATATTTTGTTAAAGAGAAAACTAATATTCTTGTATTATTCAACTATTTTAAGTAAAGCAAGCACTAAACATGAAGGGGTAATAGTGTTTGAGGAATAGGAAGGATGATATTAGCAAATATTTAGATATTTATGATACATTAATGTGATGACACCTGTTGGCATTCAAAGTATTGTAGTACCAACACTGTTGTTACAGTGTTGTCACTGAATAAGCACCATATTAGTGTCTTCACTGTATTAAAACTAGTTATTGTCACTGTAATAAAACTAGTTATTGTCACTGTATTAACACTGTAATTAGTACTGTCATTGTATTAACACTGTGGTTACTGTTGTCACCATATCTACATTACTGTATAGTCAGAACTTACACGAGTTCTCTGACATTGATGTTGGTACTACAAGTGCCACCTTCTTGTACCAGGATGACCTGCAGCACTGACACTACAAGTGCCACCTTCTTGTACCAGGATGATCTGCAGTATTGACACTACAAGTGCCACCTTCTTGTACCAGGATGACCTGCAGTACTGACACTACAAATGCCACCTTCTTGTACCAGGATGACATGCAGTATTGACATTACAAGTGCCACTTTCTTGTACCAGGATGACCTGCAGTATTGACACTACAAGTGCATCCTTCTTGTTCCAGGATGACCTGCAGTACTGACACTACAAGTGCCACTTACTTGTACCACGATGACCTGCAGTATTGACACTACAAGTGCCACTTTCTTGTACCAGGATGACCTGCAGTATTGACACTACAAGTGCCAGCCTATGGTATCAAGGCAACCTGCAAAAGAAAACTGAAAATTTATGACATTCTATAATAACTATTAAATTATAATTAATATTATTACAATTATCTTAAACCAACTAGCCATCTCTCACTGAGGTAATGTGACTCAATAAACAAGAAACACTTTCTCCATCACTGTCTTGCAAGAGTACATGGAGTTTACTTGGAGAGAGTTCCGGGGGTCAACGCCCCCACAGCCCGGTCTGGGACCAGGCCTCCTGGTGGATCAGAGCCTGATCAACCAGGTTGTTACTGCTATCTGCACGCAAACCAATGTACGAGCCACAGCCCGGCTGGTCAGGAACCGACTTTAGGTGCTTGTCCAGTGCCAGCTTGAAGACTGCCAGGGGTCTGTTGGTAATCCCCCTTAAGTATGCTGGGAGGCAGTTGAACAGTCTCGAGCCCCTGACACTTATTGTATGGTCTCTTAACGTGCTAGTGATACCCCTGCTTTTCATTGGGGGGATGTTGCATCGTCAGCCAAGTCTTTTGCTTTCGTAGTAAGTGATTTTCGTGTGCAAGTTCGGTACTAGTCCCTCTAGGATTTTCCAGGTGTATATAATCATGTATCTCTTCCGCCTGCATTCCAGGGAATAAAGGTTTAGGAACCTCAAGCACTCCCAGTAGTTGAGGTGCTTTATCTCGTTATGCGTGCCGTGAAGGTTCTCTGTACATTTTCTAGGTCAGCAATTTCACCTGCCTTGAAAGGTTTCTGTTAGTGTGCAGCAACATTCCAGCCTTGATAGAACAAGTGACCTGAAGAGTGTCATCATGGGCTTGGCATCCCTCGTTTTGAAGGTTCTCATTATCCATCCTGTCATTTTTCTAGCAGATGGCGATTGATTTCAATGTTTATGGTCCTTGGAAGGTGAGATCCTCCGACATGATCACTCCCAGGTCTTTGACGTTGGTGTTTCGCTCTATTTTGTGGCCAGAATTTGTTTTGTACTCTGATGAAGATTTAATTTCCTCGTGTTTACCACATCTGAGTAATTGAAATTTCTCATCGTTGAACTTATATTGTTTTCTGCAGCCCACTGAAAAATTTGGTTTATGTCCGCCTGGAGCCTTGGGAGTGTCTGCAATTTGGGAAAACACTGTTCATGCAGATTCGGGTGTCATCTGCAAAGGAAGACACGGTGCTGTGGCTGACATCCTTGGGCTATGTCAGATATGAGGATGAGGAACAAGATGGGGTGAGTACTGTGCCTTGTGGAAACAGAGCTTTTCACCGTAGCTGCCCCTGACTTTGCTCTGTTGACTACTACTCTCTGTGTTCTGTTAGTGAAGAAATTATAGATCAATGCACAGACTTTTCTGTTATTCCTTTGCATGCATTTTGTGTGCTATTACGCCATGGTCACACTTGTCGAAGGCTTTTGCAAAAGTCTGTATATATTACATCTGCATTCTTTTTGTCTTCTTGTGCATCTAGGACCTTGTCGTAGTGATCCAAAAGTTGAGACAGACAGGAGCGACCGGGTTTTAAACCCATGTTGCCCCTGGGTTGTGTAATTGATGGGTTTCTAGATGGGTGGTGATCTTGCTTCTTAGGACCCTTTCAAAGATTTTTATGATATGGGATGTTAGTGCTATTGGTCTGTAGTTCTTTGCTGTTGCTTTACTGCCCCCTTTGTGGAGTGGGGCTATGTCTGTTGTTTTTAGTAACTGTGGGACGACCCCTGTGTCCATGCTCCCTCTCCATAGGATGGTAAAGGCTCATGATAGGGGCTTCTTGCAGTTCTTGATGAACACGGAGTTCCATGAGTCTCGCCCTGGGGCAGAGTGCATGGGCATGTCATTTATCGCCTGTTTGAAGTCATTTGGCGTCAGGATAACATCGGATAGGTTTGTGTTAACCAAATACTGTGGTTCTCCCATAAAAAATTCATTTTGATCTTCGACTCTCAGTCTGGTTAGCGGCTTGCTAAAAACTGAGTCATATTGGGGCTTGAGCAGTTCACTCATTTCCTTGCTGTCATCTGCGTAGGACCCATCTTGATTAAGTAGGGGCCCAATACTGGACGTTGTTCTCGACTTTGATTTGGCATAGGAGAAGAAATACTTTGGGTTTCTTTCGATTTCATTTATGGCTTTTAGCTCTTCCCGCGATTCCTGACTCCTATAAGATTCTACGCATTTCAGATATATTGACCTCTTTTAGCCACTCTGTTATTCTTTTCCGTCGCCTGTAAAGGGAGCACCTGTCTCTTTCTACTTTACATCTACTCCTCCTTTTTCTTAGAGGAATAAGCCTTGTGCATACATCGCGGGCCACCAAGTAAATCGTTCTAGGCATAATTGGGTCTGTTTGTTTAAATATAATTCCCAGCTTATATTGTTAGGCTTTTGGTTACTTGGTCCCACTTTATGTTTTTTTTTGAAGTTAATTTGGTGAATGCTCCCTCATGACTAATCTCATTATTCGGTCTGGGGGGCCCCGCATACATGTCTGAACCTCAATTATGTTGTGATTATTATTGTTTTTTTATATGGTGACATTTCTTATCAGACATCAAAGTTAGTGAAGATGAGGGCTGTGATTCTTCAGTTATTTGGCTCTATTATTTGCTGGTTTAAATTGAATTTTGTGCAGAGATTTTAAAAACTCGTGTAGTGTGAGTTTTCATCAGAGCTGCCCCGGTGTTATTGCCCGCAAAAATATTTTTTGCTAATTCCCCCCATTTTTGGTGCCTTAAGTTGAAATCCCCCAGGAGCAAGATGTTGGGCACAGGAGCTGGAAGATTTTCCAGACAGTGGTCAATTTTTAACAGCTGTTCCTGGAATTGCTGGGATGTTGCATCCGGAGGCTTGTAGACTACCACAATGACTAGGTTTTGGTTCTCGATCTTTACTGCTAAAACTTCCACTACATCATTTGAGGCATTAAGCAGTTCTGTGCAAACAAGTGACTCTGCAATGTACAGGCCAACCCCTCCCCCCTTTTTGCCTGTTCACTCTGTCACATCTGTATAGGTTGTAACCTGGGATCCATATTTCGTTGTCCAAGTGATCCTTTATGTGGGTCTCAGTGAAAGCTGCGAACATTGCCTTTGCCTCTGCAAGCAGTCCATGGATGAAAGGTATTTTGTTGTTTGTTGCTGGCTTTAGACCCTGTTTATCTGCAAAGAAGAATGTCATCGGACTGGTGGTATTGTTGGTACTGGGAGGGGATTTTTTCCGACATTAGTATCTGTATCTGTTGGTTTGGAGTGGAGGCCATCGACTGTGGTTCCACTCCAGGAATGACTGGATTTGGTGCACGATTTCTGCCATTTCCTGCCAGTTTTTTTTCCTTCCTGGCACTAAAAAACCTCTCCCTCTTGAGTAGCTGTGGCTACCCAGGTTTTCCCATGGCCTGGATATTTTGTATCTTTTTGTCCCCTTTAGATGGTGTGCCTGGCAATTTAAGTTATAGCACAGTCTTTCCTGCACTGAAGAGGTACACATTTCAGGGTGAAAAAGCTTACAGGAAGGGAGTTTGCATTTTCCTGTTGTCATATGGGCACGGCCCATATGACAACCTATAAATATCCCCAATCATCCTTGAGAGTTCAGGCACTGTACTTCTCACTACCACTCATTCTTCAGAGTGCAGGCACTGTACTTCCCACCACCACTCATCCTTCAGAGTGGAGGCACTATACTTCCCACCACCACATCCCTCAGAGTGCAAGCACTATACTTCTCATTACCACTAATTCTTCAGAGTGCAGGCACTGTACTTCCCCCCACCACCCATCCTTAAGTAAGTAAGTAAGTAAGTTTATTCAGGTAAACACAAATACAGTTACATAGAATTATCATACATAGCAGCATATGTGTAGGGAACCTAGGATAACCCAAAAAAGTCAGACAGAGTGACTTATTTCCATTGGGGTCCTTCAGAGTGGAGGCACTGTACTTCCCACCACCACCAATCTTTCAGGGAGGAGGAAAGAGGGAGGACTTATTGTTTGGAAGGGAAATCCTCTTCCATAAAGACTTTAGGTAACAAGTCCTTATCTGGTGTTACTTCCCTTCTTTGTCTTTTAAGGCCACTAGGACCAGGTTGAGAGTCACTGAACCCTGTCTCAGAAAATAACTGTAAAGAGTGCTCTGTTTCTGGCACTCTTTAACCCTTTCAGGGTCCAAGACCAAAATCGGAAGGGGTGCCCCAGTGTCCAAGAAATTTTGAAAAAAAAAAAAAAAAAAAAAATTATTTTTTCTTACAGAATTAGAGTATATTTTTGTGAAGGTAATAAAACAAAACAAAAAATTCTGATCATTATTTACCGAGATACAGTGCCGATAAGTTGACCCAAAATGACCGTGTGGCGGCAACATCGATGATTTCCACATATGCGCATTACTTTATTTTCCGTTTTTTAAAGTTTTTCTTTCTATTTTTTTCTTTTCCTACTAACATTTGGGGCCTGAGAGACCAATACTGTACATAATGTATATATATATAAACTCACTGTATTGAACACAATAACTGCACTAAAGTTATCATAATATTCTTTACCACTTTTGTTTATTACAATAAACATGCACAAATTTTGTATAATACTAATGTTCTATCATATATTTACATATGTACAATCACTGGACATGTTTTTAGAACTGCTGCAGCTTGTGGAACTCCTTGAAACAAGGCACCATGCACAAAGGTACCTTACATTCCTCGCACATAAACCGAGTGTCTTTGCATCTTTGTTGCCGTCGTTTTGTTTGTGCACAGACAACACATCACTTCTGAGCAAATTTCTTCTTAGTTGCAGGAAGCTGTATTATGAAATGATCACCTTCCCTCCTCAAACGCTTGGGTATATCCTGAGGAGTTTGAAAATGGTTTTGTATAGCAGGTGTTGTTACCTGGTATTTCATAATAAGTTGTCTGACAACAGACAAACAAAATTCACCATATGGTGGTCTGTTACCAGTCTTCACTTGGTACTTGTAACTCTTACGAACACAATCAACAAAGCCAATCTGCATATCACATTTGCTAA